CCTGCTGAAAGGAGGACTCAGTGACCAGTATCTGGTTAAAGCACAATCCCCTTGGAGCAAATCAGTAGTGGTGAAACTGAAGGTCATGAGAAACAGGACTTGGGACTTTTCCTCAATATCCATGTCTGTTCCCTACCAAGTGAGGACACACAGACAAATAGTTCTGCAGCATGTTTTTTAGGGGAGACAGAAGGGTTACTTAGGGCAACACCAAGGTGACACAGAAGGGCTGCATGGTTTCACTGAAGGTGGGAGGTGCCAGTGAGTGGGGAAGGGGACAAAAGCCTGAGGGTGTAAATCAGGACTCCTAACCCAGCAGACCCTCCCAGTGCCACTTAATCCCACACATGTCACACAGTGATGTGACTGGCAAAGAGCTATGTCATCTGCCTTTCTTTTCCACTTTCAGTCATCTTTCTTAAGTAAGAGGGGTTTTTTTGCATCTGTGTTTGTGTTTAGAAAGGGTCCAACATCAATCATTTGAGAGTTGGGATGAATCTGGAGACTTTTGTGCTTTGGTCTTTATGCCCTAGAGAGTCCACCTTAAATCTGCTTAATCAGTAAGACCTCACAGGAACTGTGAGATCCTGTGTTATTTATGTATGTTTGGATTAATGCAGAGTTATTCTCTGAAAGGTTTGATCCAAGATTCCCAGAAATGTCCCTTAGGAGATCACCAGTGGATGGACATAGGTTATAGGCTGGATTTAACTTTGCATAAAACATTATTTCATCCTTACCTTCTCTCATCAAATGCCAGAGTCTGGGAATAATTGGCTGTAAAACCTATCCCACCACATCTGTATCTTTCCAGCCTCTTTCCTTTTGCCTTAGTTCTCAGTGTGTAGGGATTTATGAGGGTCTGAATGTCCTCATATGGCACTTAGGTCTAGTCATAGGATCTTAGGATTATTAAGGTTGGAAGGAAAAGACCTCAGAAGGTTTCTAGTTCAACCTCCCACTCTAACTTGAGTCAGCTGCTGGGTCAGATGAGATGGTTCAGGTTTCAGATATTGAAAACCCCAGGGACAGGGATTGCAGAACCTTTTCTGGGCAATCTGCTCCACTGCATGACTGTTCTCAGAGGATAAACATTTTTTCTTATAACCAGATAGTGTATCTTGTTTTGATTTACACCTGAAGTATCTTCTCTCAATATGCAATAGATCTGTAGATCTCAATAGATCTGTAAAGATCCCGGCTTAACCTCTCCACACTGTTAGGTGCCTCTAAAACCAACACTTCCAGGATGAACAAGTCCTGGTCTCACATCAGTCACCAGGCAAGTGCTCTAGCCCTGACCACCTAAATGGTCTGTGCTGAATTCATTTATAGTTGATCAATGCCTGGTACTAAAGGGCTAAACCTGGTTGCAGCAGGTGGATATAGTCTAATACATCCTGAGTAGAGGGGGAAAGTCACTTCCATTGATCTAGCTGTGTTCATGCTCTCATAGTCCAGGATACCTTTTTTTGCTGCCAGGACACACTGCTGGTTGATGCTCAGCCTGCTGTCCCTCAGGACTCCTAGATCCATTTCTGAGCCCCTGCCAGGAGACTTTTTCCCAAGCACAGGATTTGTCTGTGTCGAGAATCATCAGATTCCTGATGGTCCTTTCCTCCACTTTATCCAGGTCTGTAGGTTTATCTCATTCTGCAACCTCTCCTGTGAGCTCTCCTAAGCTGTGTGGTCTTTTTTGTGGAGGTGGTGGGGGAGACAGGAGAGGCTGGGAGGAACGGGGGTTTTCTTCTGGACCTGCTGGGGAACGACTTGCTGATTCAGGCATAGTGATTTTCATTGTATTTCTAATTAGAGAAAAGTGTGTGGGTAGAGGAGGAGGAGAGAGGGGAGCCAGAAGGAAAAGGAGGAAGGAGACATAAAGTGCTGGGAGCTGACAGGGAAAGGCAATTTGAAAGAGTCAGTTTCCGGGCACAGAGAGACAGGAAGGACAAGAGCCATGAACTGGGACAGGCTGGGAAGGAGGCTCTCATGGCCACAGCAGCTTTATCCCAGAGCTTCCTAAAGAGGCAGCCAGACTGCTGGTATTAGTTGTCTGGGCTCAGGGGAGCTGGCAATGGGGTGGACAGAGGAGACTGTAGGGAACGTAGCCGTCTGGGTGGCCACAAGAGGTCCAAGGCAAGAGAGGGGTAAGAAGAGCAGAAAGGGAGGTGGGGACTGAGTATGAGGGAGGAAGAAAAAGGATCCATGAGCGGGAGCAGTTTCCTCTAAAACAGCTGGGCAGGAGCAAGAAAGAGACAGAAAACAGGCAAAGCTGTATCTCATAGCTCAGTAGGGATGGTGTCAAAGCAGGTTGTCTCCCTTGAGCTAAAAGATTAGGAGAGAGAAAGAGAAAAGGCAACAGACTAATTACAGGCAGATAGAAGGAGTGTGTGGCAACAAGCAGCAACAGAAGACCCCCCTGTGGGGAGGGGGACTAGATGAAAGGGACACTGAGTCACAGCCAGCACTGCCACCATCCCCTGTGCTGTCACAACAGTGTTTTGTTGAGGACACAATGCACCCAGACCCTGGTGGCCCTCGCCCCTTGCAGCCATTCAGGGTGTGGGCTTTCACTGCACCTCACCTCTGAGCAAATCTGAAGGGGTTTGGGTTTTTTGGTTCAGTTTTTTTTTGTTTCAGCTGAAATCCCTTTGCCAGCTCATCTGGACAAATGTTCTGCTCAGATCTACCTTATGGCAAGACTTGCCACTTCTTGGAGATCAGTCTGAGCTGTGAGCCAGATGAACCTGGTGGGTGAGTGAGAAGGGGGAGATTCCAGGGTTTGGGAAAGTTTGTGGTGCAGCCAAGCTGTGCTGCCTTTCAGTGTCTTATGCTCAGAAGGGCTCTGCTAATGCTGTATTACCCTGCTGTGATACCAGCGTCCCTCCTCAGTTATGCATTGTGATGTACATTGTGTTCCTTCTCTGAATCACTGTCTAGAGGACTCTGTCTTTCACCAAGGACTCTGTGAATGTGCCTAAAGTTAGAAGCCTGAAGGCCAGTGCACAATTAACCCCATAGTCTTGCAGGAACTATTTTTTTCTACCCATGAACAAGGGATTTTCTGTGCTATCCTGTGTCTGCTGTGCTAGAATTGTCCCTTTCACT